TTTTTAGGAATCGTTCAGCCCTTACCAAACATGAACGGACTCACACTGGAATAAAACCCTATGAATGTAACAAATGTGGGAAAGCCTTCAGCTGGAATTCTCATCTGATTGTACACAAGAGAGTCCATACAGGAGAAAAGCCTTATGTGTGTAACGAGTGTGGAAAGTCCTTCAACTGGAACTCCCATCTCATTGGACACCAGAGGACTCATACTGGAGAGAAACCATTTGAATGTAGGGAATGTGGGAAGTCATTCAGCTGGAGCTCCCATCTCATTGCTCACATGAGAATGCATACAGGAGAGAAACCCTTTAAATGTGATGAATGTGAAAAAGCTTTTCGAGATTATTCGGCCCTTAGTAAACATGAAAGAACTCACTCTGGAGCAAAACCTTATAAATGTACAGAGTGTGGAAAATCCTTCAGCTGGAGCTCCCATCTCATTGCTCATCAGAGAACTCACACAGGAGAGAAACCCTATAACTGTCAAGAATGTGGCAAAGCATTTCGGGAACGCTCAGCCCTCACCAAACATGAGATTATTCATTCTGGAATTAAACCTTATGAATGTAATAAATGTGGAAAATCTTGTAGCCAGATGGCTCACCTTGTTAGACATCAAAGGACTCACACTGGAGAGAAACCCTATGAATGCAATAAATGTGGGAAATCCTTTAGTCAGAGCTGTCACCTAGTTGCTCATCGGAGAATCCACACTGGTGAGAAACCCTATAAATGTAATCAGTGTGAAAGATCCTTTAACTGTAGCTCTCACCTTATTGCGCATCGGAGAACTCATACTGGAGAGAAACCATATAGGTGTAATGAATGTGGGAAAGCATTTAACGAGAGTTCTTCCCTTATTGTGCACCTGAGAAACCATACTGGAGAAAAACCCTACAAATGCAATCATTGTGAGAAGGCTTTCTGTAAGAACTCATCCCTTATTATTCATCAGAGAATGCACAGTGGACAGAAGCGCTTCATATGCAGTGACTGTGGAAGAGCCTTCAGTGGTCACTCATCCCTGCTTCAGCACCAGAGGAGTCACAGTGAAGGGAAACTGCTGTTGAACTGATCAGAGAATTTTCCTTTATTGTACATTTGATAACACATTGAAGATACTGTATGAATATAAGAGGGAAAAGAAAGTTTTAAATTAAGAGTTCAGTAAGACTTTCTATGATTCAATAAGAAACCTGTGAATGAAATTAATAGGTAAAAGCTTACAGCAGTGTTGTAGCCCTCATTCAGCATAAGATAATTAGAGAAATAAACTAAACTCCCCATGACCTCCAGGAATCCCTGCCTAAGGAACATGACTCTGGGGAGTAAGGCAGCTTTCAGCACGTGCTTTTAGCGATTTCGTAGGTAGATCAGTGTGTGTCACTAAGGGAAAACCCTATACCAAGAATGGCATTTGACTGGAAATAGCTTTTTCATTAGGCTGAAGTAGTGGATGGAGACATTCACATTTGTGCATAATTTTAGAAATACAGATTTTACTATTATAAGAAGAGGATCTAGATGCTAGAATAAAGAATACTAAATCTGAATTTAAGAAAGAAAATAGTATAGTATTGAGTGAGATATTTACTGTTGATCAAGATTAACCTCCTTAGAAAACAATTAGTTGGTGAGATTACTGATGGTGGAAAGGTTGTCCGTAGAAGTCTGAGGCTGATGTTGGCACAGAGGTGACACTAAATCACCCAAGTGTCATTGTCTTTTGTGTACTCATTACTGCATTGTTGGGCAGTTAGTCTGTAACTTCTTTTAGATGATCAGTATAAATTATACAGTAATTGTGGGTACTGCATCAGTATACATAATATGAAGGAATAAAAAGGACACAGAATTGTGTATACATATCTACTATAGCAGATCTAAAAAGTGTATAGGGATAAGGACCTGGTAGATTCATCAAGAACCCCATTAATTTAAGATTTTTTTGTTTTACGAGCATAGCACTCACCAAGTGCTAGGCTTTGTTTTAAATGTTTTTCAAATATTAATTTGGTTCTCTGTAGATACTGTTATCCCAGGTTTATGAATGGGGAGATTGAAGTGGTGAAAGTGGGGTTCCTGCCCCAGGACCACTGCTAGTCAGCAGTAGAGCTGAGACTGTGGCTCCACAGGCCATTTTTGCTTTTTTTGGTACTGGGGATCAAACTCAGGACCTTGTGCTTGTGAGGCAGGTGTGGTGCCACTCAGCTAAATCTCTGTTGGCAGGCCATGTTTTTAGCTACTGTATCATCCTGTCTCTTCAGTGATACATTTCCCAAGTTTTTACCTTTTTTGGTTCATTGTTTGTATAGTAGAGATTTGACAATAAAATTCAAGAAAATCTTAAGTGGTGAGAAGCTGTTACCTGGCTCCTGTATCCTGAAGGGTTTCTGGTAATGAGAGCTAAGATCTTGGGCGTGGGAAAAAGTCTGTACTGGACATTCAGAGCCACTGGTTTTTGGGGCCTGCATTTCCTAGACTTTCCCTACTCATAGCCCTGAGGGCCCCAGAGCAGCAAGGTCCAGAAGACTCACTGAGGCTTGGGCTGGGCAGGAACTCTTCCTGTTGGGTTCAGAGTGCCCCTTGTAAAGTGGAGGGCAAAGGCATCTGTTCTTTCACACAGTAAAACACCATTGCACCTCAGAGCAGCATTTCCCAATGTCTCCCTTAAATACAAGGTTGTCTTTCTTTATCTTCTCCAGGTGACAGTTTCTTGATGGATGGAGGATACAGAGGGAGAGTCCCTCACCTGTTCATCTCAGAGTGGGGAAGTCTGAATTCACAGGGAAGGGGGCAGGAGGGATCCAAGCACTTGGGCCAAAGCAGCAAAGGTGCTGAATAGAAATCCAGGGTCATAAAGTTATCCATTACTCAGTGGGTCCATGACTCCCCAGTGAGAACTGTGACACTGGCTTTAAGTGATTGTATTCATTGCCCAACTCAATATGCGACATTTGATCCCTTCCTTCCCAGGGCCTGATGCATCGGTGGTCACCCAATAAATGTTGCAGGAATGAAGTAATTGATGGGTTTCTCATGTGATTTCTTGTGGAGAATACAGTTAGCAGTATTATCTCTGAAAGAGAATGGATAATGTATCCAGAACTGTACTGCCAGTGTGGTATGGATATGTTATTCTAGTACCCAGAGTGAGTCCTGATTAAGGGATATCACAAGTCATATATAGTATTCCGTAAGCATCCCAGTAACTTATAACCTTATTACCAATCTTAATACCTTTAAAAAAATGTCCCTAAAGGGGCCTCCTGGGCTCAGTCCACATTGGGAGTCAAGTGAAAGCCCCAGGCTGCTGTTTGCTCCTGGCTGGGTTCCCTGTATTGGAATGTTGAGATGCCTGGTAGTGTTGTCTTGTGCCCAGGACTCCCCAGTCCCCTCTGCACCCCAGTGCTAACACACGTTTGGCTCAGATCATTGCTGTTGGACCCCTTCTTACAGTCCCCAGCTCTGACTCCCACTGGTGCACTCACATTCAGCCATCAGGTCCCCTTCACCTCTCGCTGGGCTCCCCTGGGCCCTTGCTCCCTTCCTTGGTGCTGCCTTCCTCACTTTTCATCTGGTGCCCCCAGGCTGCCCTTTCCCTTACACCTAGAACTCAGCTCCCACTCAGGATGCCTGCTGAGCACCACTCATCTCCCAGCTGTCCTCCCCTGCTGATCAGCTCCACGGGAACTGCACATGAACTGCTCCTGCTGTCACTGTTCTGGGAGGATAGAGGCACTCAGCAGCAGGCTCCATTGCACCCTCACTCCTCTATTTGCCTCCCCTCTGCTGGACGCTATTTAACCTGCTTTGCATTCTGGGACATTTCTCAATATTTTTGTTTTTGTTTCATTCTGGAAATCTCTCATTTTAGGGTTCCTGTTTTTCAAATGTTAGTGTGCCCATTTCTGTTGTTTTTATCTCTTCACGTTTGTTTTCTTAATTATTTTCCTTTCTTCACATTGTGTGGACATTCCCTTAATCTGCTCTTCCAGTTTGCTGATTTGTTCTTCAGCTGTATTTGTTTTGATGTTTCCTCTATTGTGTTTTTATTTCAATAATTGTTTTACAAGCCTAATATTCCTGGTTGGTTCTCTTTTATTTTGGTACCAGGGATCAAACTCAGGTCCTTGCACTTGCACAGCAGGTGGCAAAACCACTGAGCTAAATCCTTGGCTCGGTTGGCTCTTTTTATATGTATGTTCTGTCATTTCCTGTGCTAATGCATGCCTTGTTTCTATGTGGGTTCAAGCGACTTTTACAATTTTACTCCATCTCTTCTAATGTCTGCTTCTGTTGGATCTATAATGCAGTGTATTACTTTTGTTTTGAAATAGTTATGCCTGTTACTGTGGCCATTGAATGTAGCTCCCAGGGCCATCAATGCTGTGCAGAGGACAGAAGGAAGCCCAGTGGAGCTCAGGTGTGGGATGCATCCTAGGGTGAAGGTCCAGGCACCAGGAAGACTGTTAGGTTTTTGGTTTGTTTTCTTCCCAAGTTTTGGGGATTGAATCCAGGGCCTTTGCCCTGAGCTACATCACCCCTTTTTCATTTTCTGTTTTAAGATAACACCCCAAGTTGCTAAGTTGCCCAAGCTGGGCTTGAACTTGTGGTTCTTACTTGGTTCAGGCTGCTCCCTGCCTCGATCTCAGTGGTATCACTGTAGAAGGGATCTGTTCTTCCAAGGCTAAGGTGAGGAGGAGCCAAGCCCAGTGGTACTGTTGTGTTCTCTTAGAGTTGAGTCATGCAGCCTCCTGCCCTTAACCCACCCTGCACACCAGATCAGATCACACCTGGGCTTTCTCAGAGTTCCTGATCCACCCTGACTTTGGCCTCTCACCCCTGGGCTTATCTGAGTGGTCCCTGCAGGTGAGCTGACTCCTAGGAGGCAGAGTTGGAACCATAGTTCCATGTCTGCCTCAGGGTGGTGGCAGTGTGAAGTTGTGGAAAGTCCTGTGGGTCACAGCCGACATCCTTGCCTCATCCTCCACAGAAGCAGTGCAAAGCACAGCTCCAAGACCATCCTCCTCTTCCTGTGTGGCTTTCCTTCTCCATGTCAGTGATGACACGTGTTCACTTCAGGTACAGGTTAGCATCGATATCTCTAGGTTCCTTTTTGTTGCTTGTTCCATGCTTAGTAGACCCCAGGAGGGTGAAGTGTTATGGAGAGCATTGTCTATGACCCCTGCAGTGGGTCTCAATCTCCTGTGAGACAATATGACATAAGCTGAGAAAGGGAAAGAGAGAACAAAGACACAGACACAGAGACTTGAGAGAAGAAGCTGGGTCTTGGGCTGATCTAAGCTCCCCAGCCAGCAAAGACTAAAGGCACCAAGGACACCCAGTGTTCATTCATCACAAGTGTGGGAAGGAGGGGAGCAGGCCTTGGGACACCTGCTGATAACAAGGCAGGACTGTAAAAGAGAGGCACTAGCTTATCTTTGCTGAAGAGAACAAATGAGTAATTCAGAGGGGAAGAATTTAATTGGAGTCAAGTTGACCTTGGCTAGAAATAAACTCAGCTAGCCCCTGTTACTTCTAATGTAATATAGCCGAATTACAGAGGGGCAAGAAGCTTGTGCCACTTACACCCTGCTAGTACTGGGCAGAGATGTCTGCTACAGGGTGTCAACTTGTTCACTGTTACGTGTTTGGGACACCACAGTTTTTCCTGATATCTCAGGGACACATGACCAAAGTGGCCCAGGGTTGTTCCCAGAGTGCCAAACTGAGATTCCTCTGTAGAGACAACTGAAGCTCCTAACAGCATTCATAGCAAGCAGCCAGCCAGAGGGGAGAGCCCTGGGTGGATTTGTGCAGGGCACACACGGGAAATGTGAGAGGCTGCTGTGGGTTTGGTGCACTCAGAAGACAAGGCTTCTTGTTCCAGACCTCAACCCTGGGCCCAGCGAGTAAGCCAGCTAGGTGAAGGCTGGAGCATATCCCTGTGGGCCCGGTATAATAGGGACATGGGCTGCCCTATGGCCTCCTGCTGCCTCAGCCTCCATCAACTTGCCACTGCCAGCATGGACCCCGCAGATGGGGACCACTGTCCCCTGCTTGTGGTGTGCTGTGTGAGGCAACAGAAGCCAGTCTGCTATGGTTCTGCTGTAAACAACCAGATGTTCTCAGTCTCTCATAGTTTTAGAGCAGTGGTGGGAATGAGCCTACTACACGAGAAGCACATGTGTCCCCACTGACCCAGAGTACATGGCCAACAGGTGGGAGAACCCAGCTCTGAGAACAGTGGTGACCCTGTGATGATGCTGGTCTCATCTCAGGGCTGCAGCTGGGATTGGTGCAGTGCATAATGGAAGAGCCAGGTGGGAGAATCTGGATTTGGTTTGTAAGGGAAGAGAGTGCTGGAAGACTGAGCCCACTAGGGATCACAGGCCCAGGAGACAGTCAAATGGGTGCCACAGCAGAGGCATGAACAAGTGTGGTAGAAGCACCAAGGGAGAGTATGTGAGATCTGGAGTTGGGATGGCCCTCCAGGAGGTGAAACCACCCCTATTTTTGTCCCTGGTCAGAAACTAGCAATGAACCACTGGCCATTTACTATGCTCTAGGGCTATTTTAGAGAGAAAACCATGCATTTCCTCTTCCAAGATGCACTTGTGTGAAAACAGATGAGCATTTGGTTCTGCCTGTGGGTGCCATGCTGTGGCCTAAACAGGGGCCACAGGTGAGTGGAGAGGAATGGGAGGGGGAATGGCCTGGGTCCAGCCACAAGGGGAGCTGCACACTGGGACCCCAAGGCCTCACTGTCCCTCCTGCCCATTCCCTACCCTGTCAGCCACCCAGATCAGGCACAGAGGCCACACAGTGTCACCCTTTTTTGAATGCCACTGAAAGCAAGCCATGAACAGCATAATGTGACAAGGACTCTGAGGGAAATGCACTAGGACAGCAAACTAAGGAAGCCTCTGGCAGTGAGGGTGGAGAGGATTAAAGTATGCAGAGGAAGGTGAGAGTCTGCAGAAAGGTGCCCAGAGTAGAGGGGCCAGCAGAGTTATCAACATGGAGCCTGGAAGCCCAGAACACTGGACATGTAGTTTGGCCTCAGCTACCAATACAGAGTTATGATTTAAGAAGAGATGGTAGTGCAAGCCTGTAATCCTAGTGATAGAGAAGTGCTATACAATAATATGGGCCCTTGCCTTGCCTTCATTTTTTGCCCACAGAATATTTTGTTTTGGAAATGTAAATTTGTGCTGCTGGGCTCCGGCCCAATGTATCAAAATGGTTTGTGACTGTTTGAACTGTGTGACCTTTGAGGAATGTTCTCTTTAGCCCTGCCCCTCTCAAGAATGTTCTGTAACACTGCCCCTCTGCTTCAGGAGTGTTCTGTAACTCCAACCCCTGCTTCACTAAGCATGCTCACCTACTCTAGATCCCTATGTAAGGAAGCTCTCATTTCTGGCAGAGTGTTCAGAAACCTGAGCCTGCTGGGTTTCACTGGCATAATAAAAAGTTTTTCTCCACATCTTCAACTGACCATCAGCTTCTTGAGTCTTCAAAGAATGAGAGCTGTGACCGAGAGCTGCCACACTGACCTGTAAAGCTCAGCTGTGCCTCAGAGCTGTGTTCCAGAGCCGCCACACTGAGCTGTAAAGCTCAGCTGTGCCTCTGAGCAGTGGCACTTAATTGCAACACTGAGCTGTAACAGTTAGCTGTGCCTCTGAGCTGTGGCACTTAGCTGTGACACTGAGCTATAACACTTGGCTATAGCACAGAGATGCTCTGCTCTGCCACATTTGTTTCACTGACCAGGAAACTGATTGAGCTGTACCTTTGAGCCACCAATTCAGAGTCAGAGAGTGGCCTCTGGGAGCCCTCTCCAAAGACTTCATTTGCTTCTCCTGACCGAACTCAGGAGAAGAGGTAGACTGAAAAACCCCTTCAGAACTTCAGGATATGGTAAAGCCCTGGGGCCCTGTTTGAACCCAGTCAGGCCTATCCCAGTGGACAGAAGGAGTCTGATCACCTCTCATGGTCTTGAATCAGAGATCCCAGTCAGGGATTTCCCCTCAGGATCCGGTAAAGTCCCCCCTGGAGCCCTGTTTGAACCCAGTCAGACCTGTCCCAGTGGACAGAAATAGAGTGATCACTCAAGTCAGAGACTGCAGTCAGGGATCTCCCTAAGGGGGAAAGGAATATTTTAACTTCTGAATAACTGGTGAATGTGTGAGTAAATGTAACCAGGCATGGTCCTCCATGACTGGCCTGTGTGGCTCCATGACTTTGGCTATGGAGTCTGATTGGGTTGTACCCTGCAAATTCATGACAGTGTTATGCAGCATAACTATGCCTCACCTCTTGTAATGGAAGGCTGACCAGGTTGGGGATTACCAGTGCACCTTAGCCAAAATGTGCCTAAGTTCCTGAGAGGGTGGCCAGCCAGACAGCTGTGTGGTCTCCTTTGGGGAGCTCCCATCCTTTGTTGCACCACCATTCAAGGGCACTACTTACACCATGGGTAACAACTATAGTAAACCCACAGTCCTAGACTGCATGGTCAAAAATTTTAAGAAGGGATTTAGTGGGGAATATGGAGTTAGACTGAAGCCTGCAAGGTTTTGGACCCTCTGCAAAATAGATTGGCCCCAGTTTATTGTAGGGTGGCCCCCTCATGGAACCCTGGATATTCAGACTGTGCATGCAGTCTGGAAAGTCATTACTGATGAACCTGGATACCCTAACCAATTCCCTTATATTGATTCTTGGCTACCTACCTACCCACCTGGGTTCAATTCTGTATTGGTAGGAAGGGACAGAGTCAAGTTTTCATAGCCCAAAGTAGTGGCCATCTCTCCAAGACATGGCAAAAGCCAACTCCCTTTGTCCATTGGAAGCAACAATGGATCTGCCTTTGTGGCTGAGGCTATCCAAGGCCTCTCTGATATGCTAAAGATTAAATGGAATCTGTGCAGAGCCTATCAGCCACAAATTTCAAGGAGGCTAGAATGCATGAATTGAACCCTTAAAACCATCTTTGCTAAGTATTGCCAAGAAACAGGGACAGAGTGGCCAGACATGTTACCTCTGGCCCTGCCCAGAGTCAGGTGGACAGACTCTTAGGTTATTCCCCATATGAGATAATGTTTGAGAGACCTCCCCCCAATCATTAGATATTTTAGGAGAGATGTTATCAGTTTGGGTTAAAGATTGGAAAAGGACACCCCTCCAACCTATTGGCTAGGGCCATATACTGTTGTGCTTTCTTCCCCCACTGCTGTCAAAGTTACAGGTATTATCACATGGGCACATCATGAATAAAGAAGTTCCTCCCTGCAGAAGTCCTGGACACCTGGACTACCCACCTGAACCCCCAGAATCCCCTTAGGACTCGACTCAGACAGAAGACCTTGGAACTCACCTTGCCTTGGATATAGCATCAGGAGATAACAGTCCTGCTCTAGTCAGATGTGGAGTCTATGCATGGCCGAAGCCTGAGGACACCATTCACAGGATGTAACTGGAGTCACTCTACAAAACCGCCATGCCGTTGACTTACTTACAGTGGAAGAGAGGGGAACTTGTATCTTTCTCAGGGAAGAGTGCTGTTTCTATGTAAACAAATCAGAGGTCATTCATTAAGCTGTTAAAGGTCTCCAAGACAGAGCTACCAGGCTCCAGAAACAATCCCAAACTAGTGGGTTTTGGAGTTTCTCCTGGGATAACTAACTGGTCAACATGGTTTACCCCTCTACTTGGAACCCTGGTCCCCATCTTCCTGTTGCTAATGATTGACCCTTGTCTGTTCAGGTGCCTCACAGAGTTCAGGCTCTCACAAGACCGTATGACAATTACTGGTGAGAGCTCACCTAAACTATGGCCCTGTAGCTACTAGTGATGCACTAAATAGGGGTATCAAAGGGGGGAATGATAGAGAAGTACCATACAATAAGACAGGCCCTTGCCTTGCCTCCATTTTTTGCCCACAGAATGTTTTGTTTTGGAAGTGTAAGTTTGTGTTGCTGGGCTCTGGCCCAATGTATCAAAATTGTTTGTGACTCTTTGAACTGTATGACCTTTGAGGAGTGTTCTGTTAAGCCCCGCCCCTCTCAAGAATGTTCTGTAACTCTGCCCCTCTGTTTCAGGAATATTCTGTAACTCTTCCTCCTGCTTTATTGAGCATGCTCACATGGCATGTGTTTCAGGAATGTTCTGTAACCCCACCCCTTTACTTCAGGAATGTTCTGTAACTCCGCCCCCTGCTTCATTGAGCATGCTCACCTACTCTGTAGATCCCTATATAAGGAGGCTCTCATTTCTGGTAGAGTGCTTAGAATCCCCAGTGGGCTCACGGGCATAATAAAATGTTTTTCTCCACCTCTTCAACTGACCATCAGCTTTTTGAGTCTTCAAAGAATGACAGCTGTGACCCAGAGCTGCCACACCGAGCTGTAAGGCTCAGCTGTGCCTTTTGACCTGTGGCACTTGGCTGCAACACTGAGCTGTAACACTTAGCTATAGCACAGAGCTGCTCTGCTCTGCTGCAACACTAGCTCGTTGGGAGGCTGAGGCAGGACAACCAAAAGTTTGAGCCCAACCCGGGCAACTTAGGACTCAGTGAGATCTTGTCTCAGAAAGGGGTGAGGGTGGAAGAGGAGGTAGAGCCTGGTGTCTTTGAGACCTTGAGCAGTGTGTGAAAGAGACGGTGGTGAAACTGAATGGCTATGAGGTGGGCCTACAAACAGGTTAGCCTGGTCCTGGAACAAAGGGGCTCTGAAGAGAGCACCAAGACTGAGTGTCCAAAGACCTTGGCCTCAAAATAGCATTTGAAGCCAGGCTGGGTGGCACATGCCTGTAATCACAGCACTCAGGGATGCTAAAGAAGGAGGACTACCATGAGTTCAAGGGCAGCCTGGGCTACATAGTGAGTTCAAGACTAGCCTGAGCTATATAGCAAGACCCTGTCTCAAAAAAAAAAAAAAAAAAAAAAAAGCAATGTTTGTTGAGATGATGGCTGGAAATGTCTTGCCACAGTGAGACAGCACTTCAACCACAGCAAACGGTGGGTCACAGAGCCCTGCTGAGTTACGGCATGGACCAGCTGCTAAGCACCACCAAGATCACCTTGCAAAAGCCAGTGCCATACAGACACATTCACTGCAGAGGCAGTGGCAAAACTGAAGCTGACTCAGTGAGGGAGAGGACAGACACGGAGTGGTGGTGTCTGCCTGCTGGAGAAATGTGTCTCTGCACTCCGTGTCCACCAGGGGCCACCTTCGGAGCTATAGACGATGTGCACTGATGAGCCACGGTGGGAGGGGGGGAGCGTGGTATTTTACTGGAGAGCTGCACTAAATAAACACCAGGGCTTATTCAGGCAGAAGGGAAATTGTTCAAGAGAGAAGTGTGAGAATGCAAGAGGCAGGCACTAAAGAGCAAAAACACAACTGTGGTGTTTCTTTTTCTTTTTCTTTTTTGTGGCACGGGACCTTCACACTGAGTTACATCCTCAACTTTTTTTATGTTCTATTTTGAGACAGTGTCTTGTTAAGTTGGCCAGGCCTGGGCTGGAAATGTGTGATCCTCCTGCTTCAGACTCTCGAGTAGCTGGGGTTAGAGGTGTGTACCAGCACGCCTGGGTGGATGGGGTTTTTGATTGACCTTGAAGCAGCCTGACCTCCTTAGCTTGGGGGCCCCTGAGCTCTCCCACTCCTGGGCCTCTGGACCATGGGGATTGGAAGGGGAAGAGCATGCAGTTTCAGCAGACAGACCAGTGGTGGAGGAGTTGAGTCACCAGTGCAGAGCCCAATCAGCCTGACCATGTGGGCAGAGGCAAGAGGCCCCACAGCAGCCCTGTCTTGTGATGTCACAGAGGAAAGTCCCTGCATAGGGCGGCAGGCACACTGGTAGGGAGGCCATGGTGGGTGCTCCTGAGCCTGGAAAAGAAGAGGAGGAGAGAGCCTTGTCTTCCAAAGGGGGAAATGCACCATGTGGAGTACTGGGGACCTGCTCAGTTTTCCAGCCAGAGATCACCAAACTTTGCTGTGCTTCCCAAACTCCAGATCCTAAAAATCCCTTGGGACCTTGCACCTTGATCCTCTGCACCCAGAACTGTGTCTCCCAGCCGTGCTCCAGAGATTTCTGTCCTGTGAGCAGACACTTGCTGTAGTTTGACCCCACCCAAGGAAGGGAGCCAGCTGGGTGGTGGTGTTTGGGGCTCAATCTTGGGCAGAGCTAGATGCAGTCCCTGCAGTGATCCCCCAGGGGCATGTGGCCCAGAGTAGCAGCTCCCAGAATGACCATGAAGGCTTCTGGGAGAAAGGGGATGTGAGTCCTGCATGTGAGAAGTGAGCCCATGCTGTGGGGATGGTCATAGCTGAGTGATTCCGCAACCTTTGTGTACTGGGAATGGATCACTGCAATGGGCTTCCCTTGTTCCAGGACAGGCGAGACTCAACTCGAGAGGAGTCTCCCTCTTTCTTTACCTGAGAAAGATGAGGCAAGATACAGACATGTAGGATTTAAGACATCCTTCCGATGTATGTGGAAATGCCTCTATCCACCCTGTGAATGTGTTTACCAGGGTTAAGAGGTATTTTACTCTTTTGACAAGTGGCACGTGGGTAAAGTCAGTTTGCCAATCTTCTGTCAGTAGCTGTCCTCAGGACTGGTGAATTTCTGTACATATCTGGAGACTCCCTTGGGGGCTGGTTGTGGAGCAGATGGAACAGGCCTCAGTTATAGCTTGTGTGTGTGTAGTTAGAGACGGATGATATAGGAAAGGCCTAAGAAGGTGTAGGAGGGGTTGAGTCCCTATATGGAGACAGTTGTGGAGATTAGTGAGGAGAGGTATTATCTGATCACCTGGAATGATGTGGTGTCCCCTATAGAGGAGCCAGTTATACTGAAGTGTGGTGCCCTTTTCTATGTAAGTGGACTTTTCTTGGGGGTGTATCTGGGCTCCAGAGATGGAATAATTAACATTTGGTTGTGAGGAATGGAGGACTGTGCCATTTTTCGGGTGATTTGATTGGCTTTGTTAATTCCCTGGGCTATGGGAGAAGATCAGGATTGATGTTCCTTGCAATGAATGACACCTATTTGTGTCAGGAGAGCTGCTGCCTGGAGGAGAGCATCTATCAGGTGCCCATTGACAATGGGGGTTTCCTTTGTGGTCATAAAGTCTCTCTCTTTCCAGGTAGAGTTGTGAAAATGTAGGATATGGTAGGGGTATTTGGAGTCAGTGTAGATGTTGCCTCACTTGTTCTGAGCCAGAGCAAGGGCTTGGGTGAGGGCAATCAGTTCAGCCTAATGGTGAGTGGTGCTTAGTGGCAGTGCATTGGCCTCAATGGTCTGTGTGAGAGAGACTATGGCATATCCTGCCCCCTTTTTGCCTGGCACATGGGTGGGAATTGAGCTGCCACCAAACCATGTAAACCCTGGGTTGGGGATGGCCTCTGAGGAGACATTGGGAAGGGAAGGGAGTAGATTTTCAATAGCCTCTCTACAAGAGTGGGTGGGCATTTGAGTGGCCTTGGGGAATAGTGATGCTAGGTTAAGAGAAGGACAGGATTGAAGGAAAAGATTGGTTTTTCTATAAAAGTAGCATGGAAAAGTTGTAGCTGAGAGGGTGATAGATGTGAGAGGCTATGGTGTGTGAGTAGGTCTTGTAGGTGATGAGGTGACTTTATTGTTGTTGGTTAGCCAAAAATTAGTTTAGGGCTCTCTTGGGCTAGGAGAGAAGTGGCTGCAAGGGTGCATAAACATGTGGGCCAGACCCAGTGTGGTGAGTTCTTTAGATAAGTAAGCAACTGGGAAAAAATGTGACCCAATGTTTTGTCCCAGGACCCCCAATGCCAGTTCTGCTTGTTCAGTTACATAGAGTGTGAATGGTTTTTGGAGGTCTGGAAGAACTAGTGCTGGGGCACAGAGGATGGCAGAACCATAAAATGACGTGAAGAGGAGAGGATATGGGACAGCAGAGTGTGGGGGCTGGGAACAACAGGGTACATAGGAAGTACAGTGGAATTGATGGCCCTTAGGTCCTGTACCAACTGGTAGGAACCATTCATTTTCAGGACTGGAAGGATAGGAGTGTTGTAGGGGGAGTGAGCTGGTCTGAGAAGTCCCTTATTGATTAGGCCAGTGATTATACACTTTAGTCCTTTTAGGTGTCTTAAGGCTATAGAGTATTGTGGGATGTTTGGGAATTGAGTGACATCCTTGAGAGAGAACTGAAAGGGAGGGTGACGTTTAGCAACAGAAGGGGTGCAAGTGTTCCAGACTGAAGGGTCAATATAAGGCACCTTGGAAGAAGGTGAGGTCAGGTTGGGGATTGAGTCAGTCAGGGGGGAAGCCAGGAGCAGCAGGATGCCAGTAGGGTCTGAAATGTTTGGGTGGAGAATGAGTGAGGCCCTGAATTTAGCTAGACTATCCCTCCCTAAAATGGGGGTAGGACAGCTAGGAATAACCAAGAAACTATGTGAAAACGTGCTGCCTAACAGGGAACAAGCTAGGACAGGGGTGATTAGTGGGTTTGAAGGCATCCCTTGAACCCTCATGATGGTTACTGTGGAGGGATGAGTGGGGCCTGAGTATTATGGTAAGGCCAAGTATGTAGCCCCCATGTCAAGCAAGAATGAGATAGGCTCACCTGAGATGCTGACAGTTATCCTGGGCTCATTGGAAGTGATGGCCGTGGGGGCTGCAGACGACCCTGGGGACTGCCAATCCTCCGTCGCCAGGCCAATGAGCTCTGACAGAGACATCTCTGTACCTGCTGCCTGGGCTTGAGGTGGGGATGGCCTCTTATCTTTTCAGCGAAGGGGACAGTCAACCCTCCAGTGACCTGTCTGTTTGCAGTCAGGACAAGGGCCAGGCAGTGGCTTGGGAATTGGGGCATTCTTTAGCCCAGTTCCAAGTTTGATTACATTGAAATCAGGCCCCAGGGGCCCTATCACAAATGAATGTCCTTTTGTAGGATGGTGGTTTACCCTGTAGGGCTGCTGCCAGCATCCAGTAATTAGCCACTTTTTGTTGTTTTGCCTGTTCTTCACAGTTATTGAATACCTTAAAGGCAATGTTGAGGAGCTTAGTTTACATGGCCTGGGGGCCCTCCTTGACCTTTTAAAGTTTTTTTCTAATGTCAGGGGCAGACTGTGAAATAAAATGAGTGATAATAACAATTGTGCCCACCTGAGATGTAGGATCAATTTTGGTATATTTTTGGAGAGCATAGGCCAATCAGGAAAGAAACTGTGCTGGATTTTCTTGGGTTCCCTGAGTTATCTCTCTGATCTTGTCAAAATTAACTGTCTTTTGGGAAATCCTCTTTAAGCCTTCTATGAGACAGACAATCATATAGTTCCAGAG